GCCTTCTCCATATCCTGGGTAGCCAGGTGTCCTGTTTCCTTCCGGAGAGGGCCTACGTTTTCCCTAGATCTCTTTTTATCACTGACATATCTATAGAAGTTTTTCTCGTTGCCCTTGATGTCCCTGGCCAGATTTAACTCTATCAGGGCTTTAGCTTTCCTAACCTGATCTCTGGTTGCTCGGACAATTGCTCAGTATTCTTCCAGGCTACCTGTCCTTGCCTCTATAGGTCTTCTTTTTGTGTCCGAGTTGGTCCAGGAGAACCTTGTTCATCCGTGCAGGCCTCTTGGTGTTCCTGACTTTCTCTTTGTTGGGATGCACCGCTCCTGAGCTTGGAGGAGGGAATCCTTGAATATTAACCAGCTTTCTTGGGCCCCTCTTTGCTCCAGGGCTTCATCCCATTGTACTCTACCAAGGAGATCCCTGAAGAGGCCAAAGTCTGCTCTCCTGAAATCGAAGGTAGTGAGCTTGCTGTGCACCCTCCTTGCTTCCCTAAGAATCTTGAATTCCACCATTTCATGATCACTGCAGCCAAGGCTGTCCTTGAGCGTCACGTTCCCCACCAGTCCTTCTTTGTTGGTGAGAACAAGGCCCCGCAAAGCACCTCTCCTCTTTGGTTCCTCTATCACTTGGAGAAGAAAGTTATCACCCACGCATTTCAGGAATCTCTTGGATTGCCTATGCCCTGCTGTGTTGTCCTTCCAACAGATATCAGGGTGGTTGAAGTCCCCCATGAGGACCAGGGCTCATGAACGTGAGGCAGCTCCTATCTGTCCGTAGAGGGCCTCATCCACCCGGTCCTCCTGGTCAGGTGGTCTGTGGCAGGCCTCCACTACTATGGTCCCCTGTCCCTGCTCTCCCTTTAATCCTAACCCATAAACTCTCAGTTGGGACTTCATCCGTCCCCAGGTGCAGCTCCATGCACTCCAGCTGGTCTTTGACATAGAGGGCAACCCCTCCTCCTCTTCTCTTTCTTCAATTTTATGTTGACGTATCACAGAAGAAGTTATCACTCTACCTTACAACTCTTCAGAAATATTATTTACAAGCCATGGTATCAGAGCAATAGAACAGGGAATAGCTGTTCAATGGGTTGCATGTTGTTGCTCACCAGCCTGGGCTGCGGCACCAAGGACGCTGTTGCATCCTCCGCAGCCAGGAGGAAATGGCCTGCCTCTTGTAGGCAGGATAGGTACCTTGAGTTGATTAGTAATTAGTAGCTCGTTATCTCAACTCAGTCCAGCTGGGTAAGAATGATTGGTGCCATAATTCCCCCTTTTTGTTTTAGTATTTTTGTTTTCACAAAGGCTTTATGGGTGAGCAGAGACCCGGCCCATTCATCCAACTCCAGCACGCTTCCCTCCCGCGAATACCACATCGGGGCTTGCGGCTTTACCTTCTTCTCCAAAGGACTCTCGCTCGAGCTCCTGGCTCCGGCTCTTTTGGCTCGGCGAGGGAGTCGGGGCTTCCCAGGGTCTCACGGATGTATCACGTTGGGGTCACCAGTTGTTGCTCACCAGCCTGGGCTGCGGCACCAGAGATGCTGTTGCATCTTCCACAGCCAGGAGGAAATGGCTCCTTGAGTTGATTAGTAATTAGTTCATTATCTCAACTCAGTCCAGCTGGGTAAGAATCATTGGTGCCATATGTATATTTCCATTCTATTCTTGAACTACATTAAAGCCTATTGCTCATTGACAAAGAACAATAAATACAGTCTCAAAAGAAACTCTGCAGAAAAGAAAATGATCTATATATTCTCTTCTCAGAAGGCACATAGCATGGTCTTGCAAATCCAACTCAGAAACTCAAGATTCTAGAAGTATACGGGGACCAAAGCATAAAAGCAGACATAAAAAATTTGCACAAACACTAGTGAAACATCTGTACACTATATTTTCAAGTTCTCTGGAATGTTATTTGTTAGTGACCAGTAGACTCCAAAATGGTCAAAAAAAAGAATAAAACCAACAAAAAATGGATATCGGGTTCCCACAGCTATCAAATTGCCGAATTCTTTACATCAGAGACTATTTTATAGATTTCATAGACTTTTATAGGTTGGAAAAGACCTTAGAGATCATCCAGTCCAACCGTCCCTAATCTCTCATTAAACCATATCCCTAAGTAGTTCATCCACCCTTTTCTTAAACACATCCAGGGATAGGGACTCAACCACCTCCCTGGGCAGCCTATTCCAGTGGCTGACAACCCTTTCAGAGAAGAAACTCTTTCTAACATGCAACCTGAACATACCCTGACTAAGCTTATACCCATTTCCTCTTCTATCACCAATCACTAATGTAAAA